TCGAGGGTTACAGCATTGGTCGGCAACACATGAGTCGGATCTGAACGGTATCTACGTAGCATGGAGACATGAAAGACGTCGTGAATCCTGTTCAACTCTGGTGGCAACTCTAACCTGTAAGCAACAGGTCCTATTCGCTCCAGAATGCGGTAGGGTCCAATGAATCTAGGGCTAAGCTTCCCTTTCTTCCCGAACTGTAGGACCTTCTTCCAAGGTGAAACCTTCAAAAATACCATGTCACCAACATTGTACTCTATGTCTCGTCTCTTTAAGTCTGCATAAGATTTCTGTCTGTCCGAAGCAGTGCGGAGTCGGTCTCTGATCACACGAACCTTCTCCTCGGTTTCCTGCACAATATCTGGTCCCTCGAGCTTACGCTCGCTAAGCTCTGTCCAACAAATCGGGGTTCGGCACTTTCTGCCGTAGAGTGCCTCATAAGGAGCCATCTGAATACTCACCTGGTAACTGTTATTATATGCAAACTCCATCAACGGCAAGTAACGCTCCCAATCTTCTCCAAAGTCGATCACACAAGCTCGCATCATATCCTCGACAATATGCATCACCCTCTCAGACTGGCCATCGGTCTGAGGGTGAAATGCCGTACTAAGGTTCAAAGCTGTGCCAAAAGCCTTCTGAAGTCCTCTCCAGAACATCGAAGTGAACCGGGGATCTCTATCAGAAATGATTGACAGTGGTGCACCGTGCAGCCGAACTATCTCTCTAACGTATAAGTCTGCCAATTTGTCCAATGAGGAGTCACGTCTGACGGGTAGAAAATGAGCGGACTTTGTCAACCTGTCAACAATGACCCAGATGGCGTCATTCTTTCGTGAAGATCGTGGCAATCCGATCACAAAGTCCATAGTGATCCTTTCCCACTTCCATTTCGGAATGGTAGGAGGGTGCAGCAACCCTGTCGGAACCTGGTGCTCAGCCTTGACTTGCTGACAAGTCAAACAGCGCGCAGTAAACTCGGAGATTTCCTTTTTCATAGCTGGCCACCAATAGGATTTCTTCAAATCCTGATACATCTTGTTACTACCCGGGTGCATAGTGTAAACGGTTCCGTGAGCCTCGCGCAACAAGCGATCCCTCACTCCACCGCGGGGCACCACTAGGCGTTCACGATAGTACAAGACTCCGTCATCGCGAATTGCAAACTCGGGCCTCTTTCCTGTAGGAACTAACTCTCGAGTCTTCTGACAAAACTCATCATCTCTCTGTGCTGTACGGATCTCCTGCTCTAACAGAGACTAAAGCTGTAGCTCGGCTAACGATTTT